AGAAAACCAGTGTATATAAGATGATACAACGTTTTAAAATATTAACGAAATTTGAGGTTTATGCAAACAAATAATTATTATTTCGGTGCTTATTTTGCAGGTATTATGCTTTGAAAGAAAGCCAAAAATAGAATCGCGAAAACCACGAGAAAAGTCTTTAAACCTTTTTTTGATCACTACTTTTAAATTTAAATCTGAAATGAATGATAATAATAAAATCTTWAAAAAACGTTATAATTTTGTATTTAATTTTTTTGGATACCGTAAAACTAACGAAAAGTGTGGAAAAGAAAATTTAAGGAAAAGGAGAGGTTGGGGTTAAAATAAAAAATAAACTAAAAAAATAAATTGGACCAAAATACCAAATCACAATCTTGCGATTATAAGCTTAGATAATAATCCTACAAAAAGCTGACATTCAAATCGTGTTTTTAAAGACCTTTGTTTGTCCGATGTGTTGCTAAATTGGCCAGATATTTTCCAGAACAAAAGTATTAATCAGTTGCTATGAAATATAACTGACTGATGAGGTCATAAGATAAGGCATTAAGAACACCCCCTCATATAAAGTCCAATAAAGAATATTGCTAATCTTACACTAAAACACGCCCAGACTATTGAAGATGAATAGTCAAGCACACGAGTCTCACAAAACCCACGCTTTACATAAAGAAATACATAACCAACTAATGTCCAGGAAGACGAGCAGAGGTTATTGATATGACCTATATTTATTATTTACGCAACCGTGTAGAAGTGGTTTTTTGTTTTTGTTTTTTGTTTTTTTCCACAATGCGAAACCTGCAAGAAATTATTTGATAGCCACGAGGTTAGAAAACCTGTCGTTCGCGCCGCTGTCTTCAAAGGATTCACAGTGAAAACAGAACGTTAACACCGGGCAAAACACCAGGTTAAACGACAAAGCATCATCATGTTTATATTTAGGGTCGTAAACCTTTGGCCTTCCGAACAACAAAGTCGAAGCAATCGTGTCATGGCCTTTATAATGTGGCTAGGTTATTAAGTTTTGGTCGGGGTATTTAGAAAGATATCTGAAAATATACTTAAAGAAGTTGCCGCCTTTGTAGTTATATATACCTAAAAGTTAACAGTAATGATAAAAAGGTAAATTATACA